TCATTTGGTGGCTCCTCTAGTTCCAAGCCAAAAGGTAGATATGGACAGAAGAGGAAGAAAGCTATTAATAAGCATCAGAGAAAGAAAAGATTAAAAGTAGATGGAAAGCCGAAAGGCAAGTGTTCCAACTGCGGTAAAAAACGACACTGGAGAAAGACTGCCCAGATGCACTAGCTAGAAAGCGAAGTGTGGGTGGGGTTTTTCGTTGCTGAGTATTGTTTAGTGGTTGATATTTCAAATTTCTGAGTTGTAGATTCTCAACCACTAAGTATATCTGCTTGTTGACGTGGGTGCTTTATGAAAGCAGAAACTTAGTGAATGACAGTTTAATATTATCATTGGCACAAGAGCAAGAGTTTTAGCAAGAGCATAGGAGTATTTTATCTCAATTGTGGTAGGTGTTTAATTGTTAAGGACTATTATATGTCTCGCGAATCGAAGCAGAAATTTGTTTTCTGTTTTCGATTTAATAGGACAGAAATTATTCTATAAAATTGGCGTCTGATGCGCTTAGCATTTTAATGAATAAAGTCCCTATTTGCGATGGACATTTGATTAATGGTCTTTATATTTTAAACTATTCCACGTATGAAATAAAAGGTTACTCCTACAAACCATAAAATGTCGCACCATACTAGTGATACATATCTATGGCGTCTTGAACAAATCAACCTTGACAGAATATAAACTGACTAGAGATGGTTCTCTCAGCTCGTTAAGATCGAACCATTGACAGTTTGTGAGTTTTGTTTGGAAGGCAATATGATCAAGACATTCTTTTTCGATAAAAGGATAGAGAGCCAAAGATGTATTGGAACTAGTGCATTCTAATATGTGTGGACCTGTGAATACACTTGAGAATTGGAACTATGAGTATTTCTTTACAGATGATTACTCTTGATTCAGATACAATTACCTAATGTCTTGAAAGTCAAATACCTTTGAGAAATCAAAAGAGTATAAGACTAAGGTCGAGAAACATTAGGGTAAGAGTCTGATCGAGATAGTGAATACCTCTCATGAGAATTCAAGGACAACTTAACAGAAAATGGTATTGTTTCTTAATTGAATGAGCTTGATATATCTAAATAGAATGGCTTTTTCAGAAAGAAGAAACACGACATTGTTTGATATGATTAGATCAATGAAGAGTTTTACAACTCTATCTATCTCATTTTGGGATATACATTGAGAAACACATTGATGTATTTTTAACTTAGTTCCTTATAACTCTGTTCTCTAGACCTTCCTGAAATTTTGGAATGGATTCAAGTCCTGCTTGCATCACAACCAAGATTAGGGAGTCCGGCTTATGTGCTGAAAGAGAAGGCAGAAAAGTTGGAGTCTAGGTTAGAGATGTACCTGTTTGTGGGATATCCTAAAGATACCAAGGGATAATTTTTATAGTCCTCTAGATAGGAAGGTTTTCATTAACGTAAATGAAATCGTCCTGGAGGATAAGTATACTAATAACGTCAGTCCAAGAATAAGGTCGTGTTGGAATAAATGAGTGGGAGCAATTCTACCTCATCAATTCTTGGAACACAACCTGGGGCAGACATCCCATGGTGTCGAGTAAATACCTGGACAACCTAATCTGAGTGGGAGAGATGAGTAGTCATCTGATCCAATAGATCAATCGAACGTTGAAGGTAATGAGAAGGTAATGGCGTCACCTAATGGTAATGCCAGCATTGATGAAAATATTACGTTCCAATGATGCCACAGTCCTAGATCAATCATTCCTTAAACAAAGTTGGAAGATTATCATTCACCTTCAGGGTACTTGTTAAGTGGAGAGTCTAATATGGTGATCTCCATGGTACAAGTTGATGATCTGACTTCATACAAGGAGATTGTGGATGATGTAGATGCAGCGATCTATTTATTAATCGAAGCAGACATCGAGATCTTGGATAGTGATTTGACAAAGTGATTATGACATTTGATTTTAATCAGAACTTTGGTGAATCCTGTATCTATAAGAAGATACAAGACAAAATTGTATTTTTCCCAGTATTTATGTAGATGATATTCTACTCATTAGAAATAATGTGAATATGTTATTGTCTACGAAAGCGTGGTTGGCCCAACAGTTTCATATGAAGGACTTAGTAATGCTAGCTATGTTCTAGGTTTCAGATCTTGAGAGATCGAATGAACAAGATGATAGCTTTTGCCCTAAGTCTTACACGTTGACAAGGTACTTGTCAGATTTGCTATGCAAGACTTTGCCCACAGGCATTGAGTCCAACTCTTTAAGTATCAGTCCGCGAAGACTACTAAAGAGATTGAGTACATGAGTGGGATACCTTATACGTTGGTAGTAGGTAGTCTCATGTATGCTATGCTGTACAATAGACCTGACATTTGTCATACTGTTGGTGTGGTGAGTCGAGATCTGTTTAACCTTAGGATCGAAACATTGAATGGCAATAAAGCAGATCTTTTAGTACCTCCGAAGAACAAGGAATTACATGCTCATCGCTAGATCTTATTTTGATAGGTTAAAATGATTCGGACTTCCAGAATGATGAAGACTGTCACAAGTCTACATCGGTATTGTTTATACTTGATGGTGGGGCCATTATTTGGAGAAATATCAAACAATCATGTATTGTTGATTCCACCATTGGTGCCAAGAATTTTGCAGCTCATGGAGCTACCAAATTGGCTGTATGACTTAGAAATCTTAACGGACATTGAGGTGGTGCCTGCATCTGCACATGTCTTTGCACTGTATTGAGATAACAGTGAGATTATGGCAAATGTTAAAGAACCAAATGTCATCAGAGGGGTAAACATATTGAACGGGAAATATAATCTCTTAAGAGAGATAGTTGGTAGAGAAAATGTGGTTGTCAGTAAGATTGCTACTAGGATAATCTTGTAGACTCGTTTACTAAGAGCCTACTGGCTAAGTTTTCGAGGAACATCTGCAAGACACAAAGTTGCAAGACATGACACATATACTCTAGGACAAGTGGGAGATTTGTTGGGTTGTGTGCCTATATAGTATATTTTGTTATGATAAAATAATCATTTATTATAAATAAATTGTGGTTTTATTTATTTGTTGCATTATTTATTATTGAGTATGCAAATTAAAGTGCCTATGATCACTTGAGATAATACAAGTTGGGTACTTGCGTTGAAAAGTACAGTGTGACACAACTTATATTTTGGTTATAAATAATTTGTTCACAACCAATGTATAAGGGTTGGCACCTTGTACTGGAAGGTTGTAGTGTTGACCAAGTCACTATTTGGATTTGTGATTTGTCCTTATCACAGAAATAGTTAAAGGTGACACTAGTACACTTGGAGTGTATTGAACGGACCGCATGTCGAATTTAATTCTATAGCATGACCGTGCGGAGAATGGTCATGCTATAGAATTAAATTCCACTAGACCGCTGTGTATTTCATCTAAATCCCTTGACAGGATTATGTATATCTTTTCGTGATTTTAATTGTTCTTTGATTCATCAATGGGTGAGATCAATTTGATTGGTCAAATATCTCGATGAGTTGGGAACTTGAAAATGAGTGGAGTAGAGAACATGAATTCATGTCGGGAACCGTCACCCTAAAATATGGGTAGAGTGACTACTTATGTATTTTCTGTTGAACGGTTAAAATCTGAGCTCACTGTTTAGCGACGGCTAAACTTCGACATCTGTGATTGGTTCACAGGACCGTTGAAGAAAATTAAACTTAAGTTAGTGAAAATAATTAGAGGGGCAAAACGGTCATTTATGCTCATACCTAATTATCGGATCTCGGACGGGGATAAAATACATGTACAGCAGGTCAGAGGAAAGTATTACAGATTTATTGGCTTCTGTGATCTTATATATTCCTAGAGTTCAGTTTTTTGCCTTTAGTGGAAAAAAGCAAAGACTAATAATTAGATTGGGTGATCTAGGGTCGACTAGACAGGATCTAATTATTGGAGTTTGGATAATATATGTTCGATCAGGTCCCTGTGGTAGCTCTATGAAGTATTGGAACTTAATTACGGTAATTATAATAGTTTTGGGCTTAATTGTAATTACAATAAAGTTTTGTACTTAGTTGTAATTACTACGAAAGTTGTAAACTTAATTATAATTGTAATTAAAGTTAAAGGACTACACATGTAATTAAATGTAAACTAATTGGATTTGGACTAGAACTCCTATTTGAATGTGGAATTATTGATGTATAAGGATTGAAACTCTTTGGTCTCTATATATATAGAGATTATAGGGATCCTAGACATCCAATGGAATATAATTATATAACATACATAATTCCATGGTGTTCAACTTTTGGAGAGAGAAAAAGAGAGAGAAACATTTTGTTTTTCTTGATTTTTCAATTGTCCAGTTCAAGAATTGGTTTTCTTGATTTAATTAAAAGAAGGTGCCCATCCACCGGTATAGTCTTGACTTTGGAGAATACCATAGAAGACTTGGAGGTTGGAAGCATCAAGTTCTTGGAATTAGAAAGCTGGAAGTTCGTGATTCAGAATTAATTCAAGAATTGATCGTCGAATTTAGGTAAAAATTTGAATTCATTATTTTTGATATAATATGCACGTGAACATCTAGAAGATCTTGTTTTTGAATTAAAGAAATTTTTTAATTTCTGACTAATTCCGCTTCCGCATTCCAACACTTACCTTGGAGAGGTACCGATGAGGATAAGCTTAGTAAAGAGCTCAGGGCGTTTAATGGCGGCGAGAATCCCGATCACGGCCGAGACGGAGTGGCCGACATGGGAGCACCGGTCAACCCCGAGGGCATCTAGGATGTGGAGGAGGTCATCAACATGCGCATCAAGGGTCGAGTAACGACTAAAATCGAAGAAATCCGAGTTTACACTACCAGCACAGACGAGGTCATAGAGGACGACGCGGTAGTCTCGCAAGAAAAAGGGAAGAATGCGCTGCCATGCCGATTGATCACTGCCAAAGTCATGGGCAAAGACGAGGATTTCCTCGCCAGAGCCCACCACTCGCACGTTCAAGGCTTCCAACACACTTTGTCCCATGTTTTGACAAAGAATATGGTTTAAGATTATTTTAACTAGTGATGGTGTTGACTTCATATGAAGGAGCCACATCCAATATTTGTACTACATAATGTATGTTGGGACTAGGTGAAGGGGCGGGGGGGGGGGGGGTTTTCAAAAAATGTAT